TCTGGCTCTGTGATATCTTCCTGGACTTGCTGCTGCGTCTCTGGCTTTTGATCTCTTTCGAGATTTATTTATGGGTCTCTGAAGCGAAGCCAGTAATAGAGTCTACAGGGTGGTGCTGGAGTTGGTTCGTCGGGGTGACTGCCAGTGCTTCCATGTGTATTGGGAAGTGGGGGGATGTAGCCCACCCCAGCTCCATGATAGCCTTGAGGTTTCAGTCACAAAACCACATGCCTGAATGTTCAGCAGGTTATATCTTGGTGAGGTCCGTCCTGAGACAGTGGAGTCAGACCTCGGATATGGCGGTGATTTTGGACTGTGGGAGCAAGCGGCAGCAAGCAAGGGGCTCTGCTTGGCAGGCACAGGCCAATCTGATGCCCTCTGATTCACCCCAGTCTGTTCAGCCATGTGTGGGGCTAAGATTAACGGTGGCTTTTGATCTCTTTCGAGATTTATCTATGGGTTTCTGCAAAAAAGCCAATAAATGAGCTTGTATAGCTGAGTCGGAGGTGGTTTGTGGGTTTGGCTCCCACATACCTAATTTTTGGCCATTTAATTTCTTGGTAAACTTTATCCCAAGGAGTTCGGGTCTAGACAAAAGCACAACGGCAATTTGGGGGTGTCCGGAAGGTTGAAGGCACCGTCAGGCTGCTGATGCACTCACCCCACAGGTACAGGTTGACCAGTTGGCAGCACCATACCCCGACAAGCTTCTTCTTATGAGATATGGAATCCCATTCCAGTACCTGCTTCACAAAACAATTTTTTGTCCAGTCTCTCAACTCATATGGAATCTTTTTAAATTTCTGTTACTTGTAACAGTTCGTGCTACTATCGGCTCCCTGATCTCGACTAGACCCCAGCAAGCCTATGACTCAGGTCTCACTCACTACTCACATCATTTGTTCATTCAGGAGAGCCATGGATATTTAAATTATGTTTTAGTACATTTAATAATTATTTATTATTTAGTACATTTATATTTTAAGATTTTGATCGGCCGAGATCAACAGAGGACATCGCCCGTCCCTTTGGAACAGTGCTCGCCCATTTCTCAGGACCGAATAACCCATGTTCAGCTGCTGTTCACATGGAACCCTTCTCCACTTCGGCCTTCAAAGTTCTTGTTTGGAGTGATAGCACAGCGGGTAGGGCGTTTGCCTTGCACGCAGCCAACATGGCCGACCCGAGTTCAATTCCTCCACCCCTCTCCGGAGAGCCCGGCAAGCTACCGAGAGTATCTTGCCTGCACAGCAAAGCCTGGCAAGGTACCTGTGGTGTATTCAATATGCCAAACACAGTACCAACAAGTTTCAAAATGGAGATGTTACTGGGCCCGCTCGAGCAAATCGATGAACAACGGGAGGACTGTGACCGAAAATATTTTAAGGTGGGTTATGTACAATTTTTAGAATTTTATAATTTAACCCCAGATAATAATAGTAGAAAATTCAGCTTAAATATTGTTGCTTTCTTTTTTCATATTTTATGTTTTTTACTTGCTTTAGAGAGTGGAGGTATAGCATGTCAAAGGATGAATTTACTTTTGCAATCTAATGAGAAGTCTGTTCTCTGCCTTAAAATAAAATTCAAATTCTTTAGGAGTTAGGAATTGATTGTCAGAAAAATACACTATGAAGGTATAGTGAGCTTAAGGTCAGAGAAGGTTCAAAGTAGACAAGTGTCACCTAATTAAAGAGACTAAAACACGAAGAAAACATGATGAAGAAGAAAAGAACCAGGGTTGAAAAATGGGGCAAGATGGGATTAAAGGAATTAAGAGAACTCTTAGAGAAATGTATTTCTAAAGGTTAGTTCGAAGAGTGTGTGAGGTTCAGGAAAGAAATAAGCTCTGTCAAGTGGCACTGCACTGTAGCACTGTGATCACAAATAAAGCAGATTGACCTAAACTCTGGAGTCCCTTGGAAACTCAGAAAGGCTTTCAATTTTCTGAAGTGCAAATGAAATAGCTGCCTTAAAGTCAAAGAGGAGGACTGAAATGCAAATAATGTAAATCTGTCTTAAACGGACACTACGATTTTTCCATGTCCCATTAACTATCTGGCAATACAGAATTCTAACTAATCGTCTTCAAAATAGAGTTATGGAAATTTAACTACCTAAAACTGTCAGAGGTCGGTGATTCAGCACAGAGGAAGGGACCTGGGAAAGTAGGGAGTAGCACCTTGGTAAAAAAAAAAAAAGGGAATTTCTTGATATGTTGGTTGATTATTGAAAAAGATAGAACTGATAATTTGAAATGTGATCTTAGTATTTTCTCTCAACTCGGGATATTCTTCCTCCAAACAACAACTTAAAACATGGAAAGACTCTCCTAAAAATATATATATAAAACCACTTATACCAATTCACAAGAGCAACATACTAATTACTGTGCTTCGCACACATAATAATTAATACCTAAAAACAATGCTCTTGGGACTGGAGAGATAGCACAGTGGATAGGGCATTTGCCTTGCACGCAGCCAACCCAGGTTAGATTCCCAGCATCCCATATGGTCCCCCGAGCACCGCCAGGAGTAATTCCTGAGTGCAGTAACCCCTGTGCATTACCAGGTGTGACCCAAAAGGCAAAACCCCCCCCCAAAAAAAACAGCAACAGCAACAACAACAACAAAAACAAAGCTCTTAAGATGATGTGTAATAACACTAAGTTTTCCCCAGCCTTTCTGTCTAGATGAGCACCATTACCTCAATTCTCTTGAATCACGTACTTTTCTTGAAGAATGAGAAATCTGTGGCTCTAATGTGTCTGTTACATATAAACTATTAAGCCAGACATAATTCCACTGACATTAGCATCTTCTTTCCTGCAACCTCAACATCATTTGTATGAAGCAAAAACATCTGGTTGCTGGATATGATTTCACAACTCTGGCCTTCTAATTAACTTGTCATTTTCATTAAGAAAACAAGACATTCCATCGTTTTAAGTGTGGCTTCTTGGTATTTGCATTCCCTGAAGATACACCCTTTACCTTAACTAGATCAGGTTTTTCTGTGCCTGATGATTGTAAGGTTGCTTTCAGACTCAATCGCAAAATTGCTCAAAGTACTTAATGCTTGGATAAATTGTATGAAAAGAAGCGAGGGGGCTCAGTTTTAACTCTTTCTTCTCCAAGATGCTTACATATCTTATCAGTGATGTGTCAAAAAATAGATCTTGGTATTTTTTGTTTGCTATTTGAAATCTACCCTGTTTTCTTGAAGTCACACCTCATGCATTTTCTCTTATATATGCTTGCTTCTAGGACATTATTATTTTAATCACTATATATAATCACTATATATAATATATATGTATATATAATATGGGCTGGAGCAATAGTACAGTGGGCAGGGCATTTGCATGCAGCCGACCTGGGTTTGATTCTTCCGCCCCTCTCAGAGAGCCCGGCAAGCTACTGAGAGTATCTCGCCCATACGGTAGAGCCTGGCAAGCTACCCGTGACATATTCGATATGCCAAACACAGTAACAACAGGTCTCACAATTTGTTGTGAGACATTACTGGTGCCCGCTCGAGCAAATCGATGAACAACGGGAGGACAGTGCTACAGTGCTACATATATAATATATGAAATAATATAATATATATACAAATATGTGTAAATACTAAACCTGGAAAAGTGTTAGTACCATGGAAATTTAAGAAAAATCTTTTTTTATAATATTTTTTATTGTATAAAGTCACTGTCACTGTCCTCCCGTTGTTCTTCGATTTGCTCGAGAGGGCACCAGGAACGTCTCACAACAAATTGTGAGACTTGTTACTGTGTTTGGCATATCGAATACATCACAGGTAGCTTGCCAGGCTTTGCCATACGGGCGAGATACTCTCGATAGCTTGCTGGGCTCTCCAAGAGGGGTGGAGAAATCGAATCTGGGTCGGCCACGTGCAAGGCAGATGCCTTACCCACTGTGCTATCGCTCCAGCCCATTTTATAAAGTAGTTCACAATATTTCAAAAATTTTAACTATAATGTATTATGCCTCAAATTCTTGAAATTCATTTCTTAACCTCTCTGAACCTGAATTTATTTATCTATTTAACAAAGATACCATATTGTATAGGTGATTAGAGATTACCCCCAAAAGCCTCCATCCCTCTTGGAGAGCCCGGCAAGCTACCAAGAGTATCCCACCCACACAGCAGATCCTGGAAAGCTACCCATGGGGTACTCGATATGCCAAAAATAGTAACAATGATGGTCCTCATTCCCCTGACCTTGAAAGATCCACCAGTATGCCATCAGGCTACACTAGCACGTTACAGGGACAAATGGAGATGTTACTGGCGCCCACTCGAGCAAATCGATGAACAACGGGGTGATAGTGATAGTGATGTAACAAAGAATATAGTATTTATCTCTCTGTCACATGGAATATAAAAAAAGTACTGTAAAATCTTTGTCAAGTATGAAGTACCAGAGCGCTTTTCATCCTTGTTTTAATTAAGCTGGAATCAGAGTGATGGAGGAGGAAGGGATCTTGGAAATTAACTAGTCCAAATTGAAAAGATGAGAAAATTGAAGGTCATAGGAACTAAATGAAGTGTTCGTGTACATATAGCATGTTGAGGTTCACATATATTTTGAATAAATACAGGTATAAGAATTCTTCTCAGACATTCTTTGTACTACAAGATAAATACAGATGTAAAGAGAGAAGTTGTAAGATGTTTGAAGAATTCATATCAAGTATGGAGACTGTGGGAACTGAAAATATACATGCCCCACTCAGAAAAGACAGCTAATACTTGTCTCTAGGTAATTTTTACCATATTAGCACATAGGCCCAGGATTTAAAGATTTTCCTTTTTTTTTCCACTAGGAATATCAGATGTCTATATTTTTTAATATATTTAACCTCCCAATTTTTAAACTTATTTATTTAAATTTTAAATAAATTCAATTTTTAAAAAATAATGTTGTATAGGTCAAACAGAACATCTGAGGTCAAAATTATCCCATGAACTGTGGCTGGTGACCGCAAAAATGGTCTTCCAATGGAATCTGCAGGCTTCACAGCTCAGGTGATTATCCTGAACCATCCTGGTCAGATCAGTGCTGGTTATGCACCTGTGCTGGATTGCCACACCGCCCACATTGCTTTCAAGTTCTCTGAGCTGAAAGAGAAGGTTGACCGTCGTTCTGGGAAAAAGCTGGAAGATGGCCCCAAGTTCTTGAAATCTGGTAATGCTGCCATCGTTAATATGGTGCCTGGCAAGACCATGTGTGTTGAGAATTTCTCTGACTACCCTCCTCTGGGTCGTTTTGCTATTCATGATATGAGGCAGACTGTTGCTGTGGGTGTCATCAAAGCAGTGGACAAGAAGGCAAATGGAGCTGGCAAGGTTACCAAGTCTGTCCAGAAGGCTCAGAAGGCTAAATGAATATTATCCCCAGTACCTGCCACCCCAGTCTTAATCAGAGGTGGAAGAACTGTCTCAGAAATGTTTGTCTCAATTGGCCATTGAAGTTTAATAGTAAAAGACTGGTTAATGATAACAATGCATCGTAAAAACTTCCAAAGGATTTTGCCAACATTTTCCTCAATGTATCTTATAGATTCCGGTCTGATGTTGAGGTCTTTAATCCACTTAGATCTTACTTTTGTACATGAAATTGGGCAGAGATCTGAGCCTATTTTTTTTGCATGTAGCCGTCCAGTTTTGCCAGCATAATTTGTTAAAAAGGCTTTCCCTGCTCCACTTCACTTTTCTTGCCGCCTTATCGAAGATTAGATGCTTGTATGCTTGGGTGGGGACGTCAGTATATTCAACCCTGTTCCATTGGTCTGCAGCTCTGCCTTTGTTCCAGTACCATGCTGTTTTAATTATTACTGCCTTGTAGTAGAGTTTGAAGTTAGGGAGGTTGATTCCTCCCATTTTCTTTTTCCCAAGAATTGCTTTAGCTATTCGTGGGGGCTTATTGTTCCATATAAATTTCAGAAGTGTTTGCTCCAATTCTTTGAAGAATGTCATGGGTATCCTAATAGGAATTGCGTTGAATTTATACAGTGCTTTGGGACCAAACATGATTGCCACTCAATGCCTCTTTTGCAAACCACAGAACTCAAAAGGAGAGAGAGGGAAATTCCCTGCCACAGAGGCAGGGTGGGATGGGGGCTGGGGGGTGGGAGGGATACTGGGATCCGTGGTGGTGGGGAATGCTCACTGGTGGAGGGATGGGTGTTTGATCATTGTATAATTGAAACCCAAGCGCAAAAATATGTAAGTCTGGAAAAAAAAATAAAATGTTTTTTAGTGGAAAAAAAAAACTTCCAAAGGAAAGGAAAATGTTTTGTGGATCATTTGGTTTTGTGTGTGTGTGGCAGTTTAAGTTATTTGTTTTTAAAATCAGTACTTGTTAATGGAAACAATTTGACTAAATATCTGTCACGGAATTTTGAGACCCATTAAAAAATTATAATTTGATCTCCCATTTGACCCAGCTACAGCACTCCTGGGAATATATCCCAGAGAGGCAAAAAGGTATAGTCAAAGTGACATCTGCAATTGTTTGTTCATTGCAGCACTCTTTACAATAGCCAGAATCTGGAAAAAACCTGAGTGCCCGAGAACAGATGACTGGTTAAAGAAACTTTGGTACATTTACACAATGGAGTACTATGTAGCTGTTAGAAAAGATGAAGTTATGAAATTTACATACAAGTGGTACTACATGGAAAGTATCATGTTAAGCAAAATGAGTCAGAAAGAGTGGGATAGACACAGAAAGTTTGCATTCATCTGGGGAACATAAAGCAACAAAATGGGAGACTAACACCCAGGAATGGCTGAGATTAGTACCAGGAATTCTGCTCCATGACTTGAAGGCCAGCCACATGTGGTAGGTGAAAAGGAAGCTCAGATAGAGAAGAGAGCACCAAATAAAGGGTGTTGTGAAGACACTCCCAGGATGGAAGAGACATGCTAAAAGTAGTCTATAGACCAAACATGATTGCCACTCAATGCCTCTCTTGCAAAACACAGTACCCAAAAGAAGAGAGAGAGAGAGAACAAGAGGGAATGCCCTGCCACAGCAGCAGGGTGGGATGGGGGATGGGGGGTGGGAGGGATGCTGGGACCTGTGGTGGGAGAGGATGGGCACTGGTGGAGGGATGGGTACTTGATCATTGTATAACTGAAACCCAAGCACAAAAATTTATAAGTCTATAACTGTACCTCATGGTGTTTCACTAATAAAAAAAATAAAAAAACCCACAAAGTTTGATGAGGAAAAAAAAAACAAATTAGCCCATGGTTTATCAGTTTGGAACCTCTTACCTACAGAAATATGTTGAAACTATTTTTTCATGGTATCAAGATATTGCATCATCAGGGCCAGGTTGGTAGTACAGTTGGTGGGACATTTGCTTTGCATATGGCCAGCCAGGGTTCAATCCCCAGCACCCCATATGTTCCCCTGAATCCTGCCAGGAGTGATCCTGAGCTCAGAGCCAGGAGTAAGCCCTGAGCACCATAGGGTATAGAAAAAAGGCATTTTATCATCTGTTCCCTACTTCCTTCTCCAACTCAGTTCCTTCTTCTCCTTGCCTAGTACTTCAGCTACAGCCGCACTGAACAGCTCGGATTTGACAAACATATCTACTTGCCAACACACCAACTGACTGTCACTCTGTTAACCTCACTCCTTAGTTATGGTGTTCATTAGGTCTGCCATAAACATATCTCCCATAAACATTTTATTTCTTGTTTCTTTTTAGATGAAGGATATCTTTATGCCCCTAACATTCTTTTCAGTACAACCATACTGCTTAACTATTCATCTATATTTTTACAATATTTTGAGTATTATTGAACCTTTGTTACAGTACTACAAGTACTTGTTTTATGTCTACTGTTTCATCCATAATCTTAGCTAATACTGAATTAAAAGAAAACTTTATTTCACTCATATTGGACCATTGATCTCCCGTTCTAATCTCATGTTGCTTCTAAGCTTGTCTTTGTTAAATACTGCCTTTGTGTTAGATGAGATGGTGAATGTTTCTCACCAATGGATGCCTCTCTAGAAGCTATCCTCTCCAAGAATTTTCCTTTTTAATGGGAAATTTGGGGCACAATCAGCTTCCTGAATACAGTCTTCTGTTTGGTATCAGAAACCAGCTTACTCTATTATGTTCTGCTTTTCCCTGGCTATCTTTTAGGTTATTTTTCAGTATTTATTTTTGCACTATTTATTCTCCAAAGGAGGATAAATACAGGAGCACATATGGACATTGTATCACTGTATCACTGTCATCCTGTTATTCATCAATTTCCTCGAGCGGACACCAGCAACATCTCCTTCGTGCTAGCCCTGAGATTTTAGAAAGTTCCACATCCGAGGCTCTTTCAGGGTCAGGAGAATGAGACCCATCGTTGTTACTGGGTTTTGGCATATTGAATACGCCACAGAGAGTTTGCCAGACTCTGCCATGTGGGCAGGATACTTTTGGGAGCCTGCCAGGTTCTCCAGAGTAAAAACTAGATAATAAGATGTCACATGGCCGTGAATGCAGCCGCGTGCTTCTGGGAGCTGGGTTTCATAGTCTCTGGGTCTTTTCATTTATAGCCCAAGATTTCTTCCACATCTCCTTACAACCCCAATATGAGTGAAGGAGATATTACTTGAATCTGAGCTTTCAGAACACTGATGTTTAGCTAGAATAAACTCTTAATTTATTAATTATAATAAAGCTTCTTTAAAAGTTACAATTTCATTCTTTTGAATGTGGGCCAGTCTCTGTTGTGTGAGGTGATATCTCATTGTTATTTTGATCTGTATCTCCCTGATGATTAGTGATGTAGAGCATTTTCTCATGTGCCTTTTAGCCATTCAGACTTCTTCATTTCATCACCCCGTTTTTTGATGGGGTTGGATGTTTTCTTCTTGTGGAGTTCAACCAATGCTTTGTATATCCTTGATATCAACCCCTTTTTGGATGGGTATTGGGTGAATATTCTTTCCCATTCTGTAGATTGCCTTTGTATTTTGGTCACTGTATCTTTTGCAGTGCAGAAGCTTCTTAGTTTAATATAGTCCCATTTGTTTATCTCTGTTTCCACTTGGTTGGTCTGTGGTATGTCATCTTTGAAGATACTGTTAGCCTCAATATCATGGAGGGTTTTGCCGACCTTGTCTTCAGTGTACCTTTTGGATTCTGGTCTGATGTTGAGGTCTTTAATCCATTTTGATCTGCCTTTTGTGCATGGTGTTAAGTTGAGGTCTATGCCCATTCTTTTGCATGTGGCTGTCCAGTTATGCCGGCACCATTTGTTAAAGAGGCTTTCCTTGCTCCACTTCACATTTCTTGCTCCCTTATCAAAGATTAGATGTCCACATCCAAAAGAACAAAAGCAACCGGTGTTGGCATGGATGTGGGGAGAAAGGGATTCTCCTTCACTGCTGGTAGGAATGCCGACTGGTTCAGCCCTTTTGGAAAACAATATGGACAATTCTCAAAGAATTAGAAATTGAGCTCCCATTTGACCCAGCAATACCACTTCTGGGAATTTATCCGGGAGAGGCAAAAAAGTATAGTCGAAATGACATCTGAACTTCTATGTTCATTGCTGCACTGTTCAAATAGCCAAAATCTGGAAAAAACCCGAGTGCCCAAGAACAGATGACCGGTTAAAGAAACTTTGGTACATCTACACACTGTAATACTATGCAGCTATTATAAATAATGTCAAACACTGTCAAACACTGTCCTCCCATTGTTCATCAATTTGCTCGAGTGGGCCCAGTAACATCTCCATTTTGAGATTTGTTGTTACTGTGTCTGGCGTATTGAATACGTCACGGGTAGCTTGCCAGACTTTGCCATGCAGGCGAGATACTATGAAATTTACGAACAAGTGATTCTACGTGGAAAGTATCATGCTATGTGAAATGAGTCAGAAAGAAAGGGACAGACATAGAAAGACTGCACTCATTTGGGGAATATAAAGTAACAGAAAGGGAGACAAACACCCAAGAATAGTTGAGATAAGTACCAGGAGATCTGCTCCATGGCTTGGAGGCCGGCAGCACATGCTGGGGGAAAAGGCAGCTCAGCTAGAGAAGGGAACACCAAATAAAGGGTGTTTGGAGGACTTGCCCAGGATGCGAGATGTGTGCTGAAAGTAGACTATAGACCGAACACGATAGCCACTCAATACCTCTATTGCAAACCACAACACCCTAAAAGAAAGAGAGAGCAAAAGGGAATGCTCTGCCACAGAGGTGGGGCGGGGGGGATGGGGGCGGGGAAGAGGGCTACTTGGATCGGTGGGGGTGGAGAATGAGCACTGGTGGAGGGGTGGGTACTTGACCATTGTATAACTGGAACCCAAGCACGAAAGTTTGTAAGTCTACAACTGTACCTCATGGTGTTTCACTAATAAAAAAAATTAAATAAATAAATAAAATAAAAGTTACAATTTCACTTAAAATTGGCAGAACCATGGACAGCACCTGAATTTACCCCATGAATCCTTACCCTTAGAAGC